AGTGCTGGAATGAAAAGGCATTAAAGGGTATTTTTCTGCTCTACATCACATTTAAAATGTATTGGTGTGCCCAGTTTTCCTTTTTCAAACACATTAATGAATTATGAAAACTTCCATGAAATGCAGTTATATGTCCCCACCTTTTTAGGATGATATAATGATTTAGATATGCTGTAAATCCTCCTACACAAACCAACAGACCTCATATAGGTTTGTTAGAACAGGGGCGGAGCTATATGGGGGGCCAGAGGTGGCCATGGCCCTTAGCCGATCATGTGGCCACCCATCATTTTTCCCTCTAATACAGACGATGGCAACAGTAATACTCTCAAGGGGAATGTTCAAACTTATTAAACATTTAAATTTTTCATTTATTAGCAATTACTTGACAATTAAAACATTGCGGGTAATTAACACATTAAAATACTAACATTAAAGTTGATATATACAGAATTCATGTTCTCTTCAGAACTAAATTTTGTGTTATATGGGGTAAAGAAATGATTATTGTCTCTCCAAGTCATCTAGGAGACTTCAGTGAAATCATAGATAAGTAACTACTTTAATAAGAACTTAATGCAGATATTAGTCCATGTAAATATAAATTTTATGCAGAACAATTTTTGATAATATTAGGTAAGTAATGACAATGGAAAAGATGTTCGCCCAGTAATTTTGTCCACTAAACCTTTTGTATAGACAGAATGGATGTTTAAATATATGCATCTATTTGTTAGCAAATGCTGTAGGAAAGTATAGTTAGTGATATTTAGAAAATATGGATGTTGTGCTCCTTTCTAGTGTAGATTGACCTTGAGGTCCTGGCGCCTATCTGTTTTCGGCCACACCTCAGTGTACATTGGTTTTTGACTGGCCACCCCTATTCAATTTGTCTGGCAACACCTCTGTGTTAGAAGAATGGGCGGTTCTAGACAGGGGTCAAAGTACTGGCCCCTGTACTGAAGACATAATACTCAAAGAAATTCTAATGGTGATAGGCGCTGCAACAGACATGGTTACTGATAGGTCCTTTGGATCTATTTCATTTTTTTTCTTTACAAATTCTTTTTAGCCTGTTAACATCCACCTCATTTTGGGTAATCCTCGCCTCTTTTACATACCCCAATGGAAAAGCAAATAACTTAGGAACTGTAATCGCAAATTACATGTGCAATACATTATTTGAAAGCTAACACCCTCTGGTTTCCTAATATATAAATTATAAAATATAAAAAATTGGGTGACTAGAACACAGATCAAGCAGCATTAGTGCAGTCAAACATGACTCAAAGTTGTTTTTTTATTCTCTAAAATGATAGGTGTTTTTTGAACAGCAGTAATAAAGACATTCTTGGGAAAAAGCAGGTTTCATTGTATTATATTTGTTCTTCATCATGTCAACAGGAAATGCAGAAAAATTCAGACCTCAAGCTATAACAGTTCCAGAGCTGTGGGGTATGGAACTTTTGGTGTCAGCTTGGAGCTGTGCGCAATGGCTCCACCTGCTGGTAAAAATGTTATGTATTTTGAATATTTACCCCCACTTAAAGGGGAACACCGGTTTTTTTACATTGGCCCCTTGATATTACGTTATTACATCATGTGTTACCGACCCATGTTAGTTTTGTGTAATTTGGCGCGGATGACGTCATACACACTCCCCTTTGTTTTAAAAAAAATATAAAAAATTAATGGCGGATGTCTGGGGGGACAGTGATTCGCCTACATGTTATGAATGCTGGCGTACCATAAAGAATTAATTATGAACAGTTCAGTTTGTGCCTTCAAGTCGGTGCCCATAGGAAGACGTTACTTGGATATAACAAAACCAAATATATTCAGAACAGCTCCAAATGACACAAAACTAATATGGGTGAGTAGAACATGATGTAATAACGTAAAATCAACGGCCAAATGTAAAAAGACAAAAAAAACGGTGTTCCCCTTTAAGGTCCGCTGGGACAACGGCGACCCGGTCGGTTTTAAGAGGTTAATTATCTAAAAACAGTAAGATGATAGCTTCAGTGGAGCTAAGATAGGATCCCAGTTTTCATCTGCTAAATGCTTTTTTTCCCCAAAACAAATAAAAAAAAACTCATTTTCACAGCTGAATTTATCAGTTTTCTTGAGTTCTAAATCAGATTTTATAGAAAATTTATAGAAATTTTGACTTAAATTAAGTCAAAAACATGTAAATTTCCTGAATTATGAATATATATTGCCCTAATAAGACATATAATTTTAATCAAACCTAATTGAATAGAAATTTCCCTTCCTGCAGCTATCTTAATATATTTGAATCCCTTGCTATGTTTTTTATTTCATGCTTTTCTGGGCACCCTCCTGGCCCCCTGGTACATTTTTGTCTTGAACCGCCCCTGGTTAGAAGCCATCTTCATACTCACCTGGTTATATAATCAACAGTTGGCTTTTGGAGAGGAGAGGGGGGTGTATCCATCCTCTCTCTCCATCCTCCTCATCCTCCATGCTGTGTTTGGTGACAGGATTTCAGCGCAGACCTGCAGTGTGTCTCTGAGGCTGAATGGAGGTCTTCATCCAGCTCCTGCAGACATTTTCCCCTCAAACATCCCCACTATAGAGACGGACAGACCGCCTGCCACTGGCTGTCCTTCCTTCCAGCGAGAACCGGTGTTTGTTTCCGCCTGCGCGCTTTTCTGAACCTGCGGCTGGAGGAGAGAAAAGGCGCATCTTTTTCCCCCCACTGCGTGGACACGCATCCAGAGTGGAGGTGATCGGGGACTACCTGTTTGCTTCCACGCGGCTGACGCAAGCTCATCCATACCTACTGACCTACTTTGTGGTTAGTTGGGAGCCGGAGCGTTGGAGCGGTTGCGTTTTTTGTTTGTTTTGTTTCTTAATTAAAGGATGCAAGGTGTTGTGGACGCAGTGGTGACCCCGAGGGGAAAGCTTCAGTAAAGCAGAGGCAGTGGTCAGAGGAAGGCAGGGATGTGCGCCTCTCATCAGCTGCTGATGCTGATGCTGCTGATGCTGGCCTGCTGGCAGACAGTCGGTGCAAGTAAGTCCCTTCTTCTCTCAACACATACAATGCAAAAAACAATATAAAATAAGTTATTTTCTCTTCAAATATGTCTTTTTTTATTGAATTGAGGAGGTTAGTGAGAAACTTTGGCAATAGAACAAGAAAATTTACATTTAAAATAAGAAAAAATAATTGCATAAGTGCATATTATCTAATTATCTTATTCCAAGAGTAAAAATACTCATTCCATTGGCAAATCATCTTATTCACCA